GCCCTTTGAAGGCAACTGCAAGGCTGATGTAGTACCTGGTGAAAATGAGTTTGACACCCCTGCCCTATAGCCTACAACAGCAATTTTGGACCTTTTTCATTTCATTGCACATATGAATTACTGAAATTCTGTGGTACACTAAAATATGTATTTCCTGCCAGTCTGACAAAAAATATATACATATTAAAATATTTTACTTTTAGAGGAAAAAGGAGGAAGAGAGGTAAACATCAACGTGTGGTTGCCCACAACCAGGACCACAACCCAGGCATATGCCCTGACGGGGTATCAAACCAGTGACCCTTTGGTTCAAAGACCAGCATTCAATCCACTAAGCCACACCAGCCAGGGCAAAATAAGTATATTTTTTATTCATTCACACAGGGTGGCTATTGTGTTGGCTGTTATTTTGACAATTTAAGGGAAATGAGGTCCCTGACTAGTCAGGTATTGCATTCTTTATAAATTCTTGGGGCATACTGGTTGAAAATCACCTCTACATCTAAAATACTATCTGGCTTTTTAGAGTGAGCTTGGTGACTTTTAATCTACTGTGTATGTAATTTATGTAACCATTCCTCACACAGGTGGTTTCCCTTTTCATTAAGAAATGTTCATTAGATTCTATGTAGGAGTGAAATCACATGGTATTTTCTTTTTCTGATTGGCTTATTTCACTTAGCATAATGCTCTCCAGTTCCATCCATACTCTCAAATCCATCTATATGGCTGAGTAGTAATCCACTGTGTGACCCCTGTGGTTGTTTGGTACCCATTCATCTACTGATAGACACTTGGGCTTCCATTATCTTGATTGTAAATAATGCTGCAGTGAATGAACAGTGATGCGTATGTTTTTTCAGATTAGTGTTTTGGGGCAGCTGTGGGGGTGGTGGGGTAGATTAGGGGATAGAGGGATTGAGCAAAAAGGAAAAAAGACTCATGGATATGGACAACAGTATGGTGATTGCTGGGGGGAGGGGAGTATAAGGGGATTAAATAGCAATGGAAAAAATACAATTAAACTGTTTAAAAATTTTTTTAAATCATTTAACAAATAAAAAGGTGATGAACTTTGACCAAATATGACTTTTTCCTCCTGAACTCTCAAATGAAATCCTGAATCAAAGCACAGAAAAAACATGTTAAGGCTTTTGAGATATCCTGACAAACTGCTTAATGTTTTTAAGTTCAGCTTCCCATCAACCTACTCGATTTTAAAAATTACTTGATTAAAAATGAAATGTTATGAAAACCACAGGAATATAATCTCTTCTACTTTTAATACCTTACAATGTTTGTTATTGCATAAGGGTAAGTTCTCCCACTTTTTTTCTTTTCTAAAAAACTGATTAAATCTACCACAGCCTCTTCATTCTTAGAATGAACATTAAAGCCCATTTATCAGTTTAAGAACACAGGGTTCTTGGATATACACTTGCCTCTAAATTCCAGCTCTGCCAACTAAAAGGTGTGGGACTCTGGCAGTTACCTAACCTTTCTGGGCATGTTTTCTTTCTGAAAACAGAAAACACCATCTGCTACACAAAATCATTCTGAGGGTTAAAAAACACGTAAAGGGCTTATAGAGCCTGGCTCAGAGTAAAATAAACATTCTATCCAATGTTTGTCAAATAAGGTAATTAATACTGTAAACTAAATCTTTTTGGCAACTGCATTTATCTGTAATCAGAAAAATCTGGCACAGAGCAAACATTAAATTCAAGAAATCACTGAAAAATTCATCAAGCTAATGGTGTTAAATCAACTGGGAGACTTCATTTATCTACCAGCAATTTTCAACCTTTTTCATCTCATGGCACACATAATTACTAAAATTCTTCAACACAGCAAAAAATATAGTACTTTTTGCCAATCTGACAAAAAATAGGTATAATTTTGGTTCATTCATACAAGATGGCTATTGTTGTGTTGGTTGTTGTCACTTTTTGACAATCTAAAAGAGGTCAGTGCCCCTGACTAAATAATCAGGTATCGCATATTTTAAAAATTCTTTTGACATATTGGTTGAAAAGTACTGATCTACACTGCTCAGTCTTCCCACTGTGGAATATGGTACTATTATTGACTTTGACTCAAGAATTTTTTTAAAAGCTATAATTAATTTTGCCATGGTTCCATAAGTGCTGAATGAGGGAAAAATTACAAAGATCTAGAAAACATGAAAAACCTTTCCTCTTCTTGCAGATTCACAATGCATATTACCTTTTTAAATCCTCACCCAGGGACATGGTTTTTTGTTTAGAAAGCGAGAAACATTGATTGGTTGCCTCCTGCACATGCCCTGACTGGAGAATGAATAAGTAACCTAGGTGTGCCCTCACCTGGAACTGAATATTTTGGTTTAGGGATGATGCTTCAACTAATTGAGCCACCAGGACAGGGCTTTATTGTCTTTTAGATAAAATAGCTGTAGTTACTCCTGTGTAACTCTTAACACCTAATCACACTAAAATCAGCAGTTCATCAACTCTTAATACATCAATTTTTAGATGCACTTATTATGTACTAAGAAGCTTGTTGATTTGATATCCAATCTAAATTTATCCTCTTTATGATGCAACTTAATTTCAGAGACATTAAAACACATTTAAGAAATCCACCTTAGTATCCCTTCACTATAGTTAACAAAATATATAAATTACTTTGGTATAATCTTACCAAAATGTTATGTATGGTCAATCCTCATTATTCAGGGAATTTGTATTTGGAGTCATCTACTTGCTACATTTGTAACTCCAATACTATTTGTAACATCAATACTCATGGTGCCTTCATGGTCATGCATGGACATCCATACATAGTGCATGCAGCAAAGTCTGTCACCTGACATCATGTTCCCAGCTGAGACGGAGAAAATTCTGCCTTGCTTCAGCTCTCATACTGTACACAAATGTTCTTTTCATGGTCTATTTAGTGCCACAATTTGAATATTTTTGTTTGTTTGTGATTTTGTTTAAAATGGCCCATAAGCACAGTGCTTAAGCATGCACAAGACTATCATGTGCCTTTTGGAGAAATGCATGTTAGAAAAGCTTCATTCATGCATGAGTTATAATGCTGTCGGTTGTGAATTCTCTATAAGTGAAAACTATACATTAAATAGCATGTCTTTAACAGAAATGCATAAGACACAGTACAGATGATATATAGTGATCAGTTGATGAAAATGTGACCCGAGACTCATAGGTTATCTAAACCTCTATTTTCCCTAGGAACACTGGTTCAGTATTCACTAATTCAGGGTTTGTAGCAACTTTACAGAACATAACTACAATGAATAACAAGAATCTACTGCATTTGACATCCAGAGACTTTGTTATTATTCTTTTTTAAATTGAATCTCATATATATAGAACCTTACCCAAAATATAAAACATACTCTTTAATGTTTTATTGAGAGAGAAAGTTGTTCAGACAAATGTAATACTACCATGTTCCTACACAATAATAGTAGGTATTGCAAATTTCATTTCCTTTTCGAAAGTATGCCCCCTTAATTTTTTGGAACCACAAGAATTTTCACATTAAATAATGAAGACCAATATCAGACATACTTTTTTGTTGTTTTAATTGTATGTCTCTAGAAAATATCTGCTATTAAGATGGTTTATGTTAAGGACGTATCTTCCAGTTTAGGTTTTTTAGAAATAAATGTTGTATCTTACTAAATGTCATTCCAACAGTGTAACTGTAAATTTTGTTTGACTGCTGACTATATTAATACATTTCAAAATACTAAGCCATCTTTGTACAACAAACATAATTATAGCAGAAATCTGATTTTCTATTATTTCACTTATGGTTTTCTTCCCAAATACATAACAAATTTCTTTACAAAAACGAAATTTCACAAAATCTTAAGCTTTAAAAGATATCATGTGTACAAAATGGAGCAGGACTAAGATCCTTACATACTTGTGTGTGTGGGGGGGGGTGGTGGTGGAGGGATTGAGGTAAACAAAGCATATTAAAGCCTGCTATGTTTTCTATGCAGTGCTTCCTTTATAGCTAATAATGGCAATCAATTCAAACAACTTTTTCTTCATATAATTTCTTTTCAAATAAAAATAAAATAACATCTAGTGGAATAAACTCAATCTAGTAACCAGTATGGTTTAATCTTACATTTAAACTATGTTACTAGACTGGTTTCACGCTGTAAACATGTAGACATTAAAACTCACAAAATAAATCAGTTAAATACCTTTGATATTATGTTGGTATATGACTTAAAAATCAAAATGAGAAGCCAATACACACCGCTTTTAAAACAGACAATATTAACTACTTTTCACCAGAGTTCCTCCAATTTGCAGTATGTATCAATGTTTATTTAATTTTGCTTCCCTTTTAGCCTATAAGGTCCATGAGGGCAGGAGTCAACTTATGTTTGTTCACCTGTGCCAGGTCTTTTCTGTTTGTTCCCTTTAATCTCCTCTCAATCTTGCTGATTCATTGGGCTCCCTTGCCCTCTGCTTAAAGTAGTAAGACCACCAATAGATCAGTGGGTGGGAAAGACTGAAACAAACACACGCACACGCACGCACCCCCCGCCCCCCCAATGCTCTTGCTATCTTTCAGGGCCTAAAATCGTTTTAGTCTTTGCAGGAAATTTCTTCATTTAAAACACAAAACTCTACAAGCATCATTTAAGTGAAAATACAGACTTAATTCCTCCCAAACCTCAAAGTTAGGTTTTTCCCCTTAGCATGTAAACAAGTGGTAGTAAGCTTTACAATGAACTGTATAAATTGAGAAGTACTGTTCTCTAATCTTAACTAATTAAAACACCTTTTAAAAACTCCTTATTAACTACTAGAAAGAATCCAGTTTTGCCATCACAAAAAAATAGGTCTCTTTCCTTTTGTTCTTAAATGACTTCTTCTAAAAGTACTCAATAAAGGAGCCACTGACAGGTCCATGCCACATTGACACATTTCAACTTAGTGAATGTTATCTGAAGTTTCAACTCAAGAGAATGTCAAAGTATATTTTATTGAGAAACTAGTAAAAAATATAAAAACCAAAAAAATTCATCACAACAAAACCAATGAAAATGACCATCACCTTTTACTAAGTACCCAAGTTTCTATGGTGTAAAACTCAGGAAAGGAGAATCAAGTTTAGACCCCATTCCACAGGACTTCAGCTTCTGAATTAACAAACAAACAAAACTCATTTTACCTGTTAGGTTTAATAGAGTGAAGTCAAAGTAAAGCAAACAAAATATTTACTCTGGGACTGCCATGTAATAATATCCATCTATTACTGTGTTAATGTCATGAATATATATGAACTATTAAAACTACACTAGACAGCTGGCCTACATTTATGTTTATTAAAAACTGACATAAACAAACAAAACCTTTACAAATAACATCTCACTGCACATATCACTTTGAAACAGTAATCTTGAGAGACATTATCGCCTAGGACCCCCTCTTCCTCTGCCCCGGCCACGTCCTCTTCCTCTTCCTCGGCCTCGACCTCTTCCTGCAACTGAGGAAAGAAAAATAAGGCAAGGTAAATTCTCTTGTGTGCTGATGTTACCTGGCCACGTCAAATAGTATCTGCAATTAAGAAAACTAACCTGGCTTCTCACAAATGTAACCTCACAGTCACCCTTCCAACACATTATCATTCAGAACCAAGAACTGCTGGCCTACAAAGACACTTTATTTGTCTGAATATATTTAATAAGAAACTCATCCAGTTTCAAAATATTTTTGTGTCATGTCTCAAATTCACAACAAAATGAAATGCAAATTACCTCAATCTCATAAAGATGGAAGAGATATCATATCAGTAGAACAGAACATGAATATCATGTACCAGACGTTCTGTTACTGATTAAAATCCAAGCAAGTTAGTTCAAGGTCAAGAAATTTAAAAACATATTATATCAAGTAACAACCTCATGACTCTTCAAAATCTTAAGTTATCTGATCCAACCATAACCTAGTACTTTAATTCATATAGCATTACCCTTGTCACACCTGGTCGTCCTAACTCTACTTGAATATCAGTGACAGAAAACTCATGCCCAAATAAACTTAATTTCATCTTGGACAGCATTAAATGTTTGAAAAATTGTGACATGGAGTTGAGTCAGTCACATTCTACATTTCTAGCTATTACTTGTAGTTTTACTATTCAAAGAAATACAAAGAAGTCAAGGGCTCTTGTCAAAACAGGGAAGATTAGCCACACATCTTTAATTCCTTCTGAAACACTATTCATGATAGAAATGGAGTAAAAATGGTAGATACCTATAAGACCAAAAAAAAAAGAGAGAGAGACAATCAATCAATCAATCAATAAAGCCAAGAAAATACAGTGGTTGAAAGAGTTCAACAAATTTTTAAGTTAGAAAGTAGTCTAAGAATAGTATATATTCAGTAAAGGAAGAATAACTTTCAAGAGACATTGGGGCATTGGGAACCAAGGGTAAGATAAGGACATTGGGCTGAAAACAGGAGAAAAATGGTTGACAATTCTTATGTGGAACCACAGACTGTCCAGTCCTCTTCCCCAATTGCAAAACTAATGATTATTCCCCTAATAAGCAGGAAGGGAAAAAAGGTGAAATGAACCTAAAGACACCAAAACAAAAAGGCTTCATGTTTGAAAATGCTTGCAAGGTGGATAGCAGCAAGAGGCATAGAGCTGATGGGAAGGGAGAGGGCTATTGAGTTAGTGTTTTTTAAGTTATAGGTTGTAACCTAAAATTTTTCTTAACCTAAAGAGAATAGGTTAGGAACCTTAAGGGAATTTGCATGTATTAAAGCTAATCATTGTTCCCCAAACTTTTGTTTTAGTAATTTGTGTAAGTCGGTTATAACACAAGGTATTGTTTAGTGTGAGTGGAAGGAAAAAAAGTCTCAAAATCATTACATTAAGTGACTGTCTACAAAATACCCAGTCCCTTTCTCCTTCCTGTTCTTATAATGCTGGCTGTCAGTTATGTGTCTCCCATGGTAAGTGACTTGAATCTTTTTGTGAGAAAACCAGCTCCAAAAAAGGCTTTCATAACTGAAATTTGGGTGTCTTAAGTGAAGAGGCCAACTCACTTCTGAACTACCCTAAACGATATCCACCAGCTGAGGAGTCCAGCCTCCCTTCCTTCCCAGAACTTCTCTTTTTGGTTCCTTGCCAAATAATAGATGGCCAAAGAGCAAGTAAGCCTTTATTGTAAAGACCAAAAACAAAGAGACCAAATGAAAAGAGAAAATCCAAATTTTCCAAAATCCAAAAAGAGAAATGCCAAATACAAAATTAAATGTAAAAACACATCCCCAAAACAACAGAATTCTATGAAAAGTTATCAGAGAACAAGAAGGCTTAAAAGTTAAGTATATTGGAAAATGAGGTCAAGGAAATTTCTCAGGAAACAGAACAAAGAGAAAAATAAGAAAATATATCCATACCGAAATGGCCCACCAAGTACCCAGAACAACAAAATGAAGGGGGGGGGGGGGGAGGACAAGCAAAGATCCTACGCCAAGTCATTAAGAAATTTCAAAATACTAGGAATAAAGAGCCAATCTCCAAATCTTCCAAAGTATGTATGAGGTGGGAAACAAGGCCACTGACAAATGTACCAGAAGAATGGCATCCGTATTTTTAATAATACCAGCAACAATAATAAATACTGTATGCATTCATGGCAAGTACAGACAAAGACAAAACAACCCCCCCCCCCAAAAAAAACTTGAGTTGTTTGCAGATGTTTACAGTTTGAATAGCGGACCAGAGCATAAATAAATTCACAAAAACGTTTATACTCCTTCAAACTTACCAGCTTCTCTTTTCTTAGATTTCACCTTTGGTTCAACATCCACAAGTAATGTATCCAGAGGTAAGCTGTCTGGCAGAATAAAATATCGAATGTTATTTCCTCGAATACTCAGTGTTTCCAGCTGTACAGGTTCTCGGTTCTTCAGGGTCATTTTCACAGCTTTAAGATGAGTATTCATGCTGACATCTACACCTAGAGGGAAAAAAGAGAGCAATTATTAACACCATGAGGAAGACAACCAATCAGTATATCAAGTCATAGTGTACACCATACTACAAAAGCAATTTTCTGCTATAGTGCCAAGTATCTACAATATAATTATTTCAACTGGTAAACAGGGGATACTGTTAGGACAAATTAGAAGTGTTTCCTCTACACAGATGTTCACTACCACTTTAGAATTGCCTACAGAAGTGAATGCAGTAAGCAATGGAGAAACCCTGGTATTTGTCTATTCCCATTGTCTCCATATATCCTCAGACCCTCAGGAAATGCTTATTGCATACTTCTCCCATTGTCTCCATAACTTCCTTACATCTTGTTCTACCGAGGTACCTTCATTTTTGCTTTAATAAAGTCCTATATGCAGAGCACTATTATAAGAAATTTAACATGTCTTTTTTAAAGTGTTTTTTAAAATGAGCATTACTGTTTTTTGTTAACACTTTGATTACCAAAGTTGCACAGGTTTTGAATGACATGCCTCAACTATTTTTCCATTAGCCATTTCTAGTATGAGATTTTACAAAATAAAAAGCAAGGTTTTCTGGGACGGCTATATAGCAGGACAGCAGGAATACTCAATTATTGGAGCCCTTACCAGTACATCTGAACAAATACAATAACTAAAGGTCTAGTAAACTTCTGTCCCTAGAAAATTAAGGTAAAAACCATAAATTTTCTCAACTTTCCCAATATCCATCTCAAATTTACTAATTATTACTAATATTTCCTCCCTCATTCCAGTCATAGAAGAGGTCCTCTTTTTTCCCAAATTAACACAGTTTTGATACATTCCATCTCCTTGGGGACTCTGGTCCATCAACAGAAAGGGGAAAAAAAATAAGACTTATAAGCTCTGTGTTCCAGGAATTGCATGCTAAAACATTTTAATTTAATCCTCAAAATCCCTATGGGTACATAGTCTGATTATCCCTCCTATGAAAACTAAAATATATATTTGTAAAGGATACATGAAGATTGTAATGGTGGTTGTCAGTGGATGTGGGAATTAGATCTTTGACTAGATTTTGCTCCAAATCACTTTACCCCTCCTGATATCACTGAAGTGCCTACTATATTAACCAAACCTTGCATCACATTACGTTTTTTATGTGTGCTATCACTAGATTTTGAGTCCCTAAAAAAACTAGACCACAGGAAAAAACAGACAAAACCTTACACTGTACTGATTTCCTTTCACAGCAAGTGGTGTTAGAAAGTTCCAGTATACTCACAAATATAACCAGTTTAATTCAGTATATTTTCTTGGTTTACTCAAATGCTTGGTCTACGCGCTGAAATTATTTTTATTAATTATGCTGTTACAGCTGTCCAGAATTTTGCCCCTTTGTCCCCCTCTACACAGCACCCCCTACTCCCTCAGGCCAATCCCCCACACCACTGTTGCTGCCCATGGGTCATGTGTGTTAAGTTCTTTGTCTACTCCATTTCCTATATTGTACTTTATATCCCCATGGCTATTCTGTAACTACCTATTTATATTTCTTTTTTTAAAAGATTTTATTTATTTTTTTTAGAAAGGGAAGGGAGGGAGATAGAGAGAAACATCAATGTGTGGTTGCTGGGGGTTATAGCCTGCAACCCAGGCATGTACCCTGGCTGGGAATCAAACCTGCGACACTTTGGTTCGCAGCCCGTGCTCAATCCACTGAGCTACACCAGCCAGGGCTCTATTTGTACTTCTTAATCCCCTCACCCTTTCACCCATTCCCCCATTCCCAACTGACAACCATCAAAATTCTTTTCGCTTCCATGATCTGTCTCTGTTCTTGTTTGCTTAGTTTTTTAGATTCAATTGTTGACTGATATGTCTTTATTGCCATTTTAATGTTCATAGTTTTGATCTTCCTTTTCTTAAATAAGTCCCTTTAACGTTTCATATAATGGTTTGATGATGATGAACTCATTTAGTTTTTTCTTGCCTGGGAAGTTCTTTGCCTGCTCTCCAATTTTAAATGATATGTTTGTTGGGTAAAGCTATCTTGGATGTAGGCCCATTTTTCATGACTTTGAATATTTCTTACCAGTCCCTTCAAGCCTGAAAAGTTTCTTTTGAGATGAAATCAGCTGACATTCTTATGGGAACACCTCTGAAGGACACTAACTGCTTTTCTCTGGCTGCTTTTGAGATTCTTTATCTTTAACTTCTGGTATTTTAATTATAATGTGTCTTGGAGCAGGCCTCTCTGCATCCATCAAAATTGGGACCCTCTGTGCTTTCTGGACTTCCAGGTCTATTTCCTTCACCAAACTAGGGAAGTTATCTTTATCCTTTCAGATAGTTCCAATTTCTTGCTTTCTCTTCTCCTTTTGGTGCCTCTATGATGGAACGCTTGAGGTTGTCCCAGAGGCTACTTATTCTATCCTCATTTTTTTGGATTATTTTTCCTTCTTGTTCTGACTGGTTGTTTTCTAATTCCTTATGTTCCAAATCATTGATTTGATTCTTGGCTTTACTAACTGTAGTTTCCCCGTAAATTGTTCTTTATTTCATTAGTGTATCCTTCATTTTTACTAGATCTTTTTTATGCTGTTGAGGTCCTCACTTAAGTTCCTTGAGCATCCTTATAACCAGTGTTTTGAATCTGCATCTCATAGATTGCTTATCTCCATTTCATTTAGATCTTTTTCTAGAGTTTTGATGTTTTTTTCATTTGAGCCATGTTTCTCTGTCTCCTCATTTTGGCAGCCTTCCTGTGTTTGTTTCTATGTATTAGGTAGGACTATTTTGACTTCGTGTCTTGGTAGTGTTGCCAACTGTAGTAGGTGTCCTACAGGGTCCAGTGGGACAGCCTCCCCTACCACCCAAGCTGAGTACTCAAGGTATGTCCTTCATGTGGGCCTAGTATACCCTTCTCTAGTAGTTGAGCCTTGGTTGCTGTTGGCAGATCAATGGGCGGGATTTACCCAGGCTACTTAGCTGCAATGACTGGCTGTGACCACTGACCACCAACCTCCATGGTCACAATCAGCTGTGTAGGGGCAGGGTGGTGGTGCTCAGACATGGTCTGTAGCTGTACACTGGCCCTGTGGTTTCCCCAGTAGTGCAGGCCAAGGTCAGCCCCCCACCTGTGTTTTGCCCCAGGCACCCTGCCTGAGCTATAAAGCAATCTCAGATGGGCTTGGAGATTCCCATGTGAAGCCAAGCTGGGAAACTAGGCTGGCTGCTGCTCTTTGATAAAATTTAGGAGCCAAGACCAGCCATTCTCATGGAAAAGTGGTGTGGGTGGTACAGAGCCTCTGGGAATCTCCAGGGCAGGTCAAAGAGTTAGCCAGGTTGATGGAGTCTCAGATATGGCAGTAGCTTACAAGCTCTCTGTGGGGAGGGTTTAGAAAAGAGACAATGGCCTCTGCTAGCCTTGATGCCAGACATTTCAGTTTCTCCCTACATATTACTAGTGCCTTTCAAGCTGCTACCCTGGTGCTGGAGCTCAGAGGGAGTGAGTCTTAGTAGTTGAGTCTGTGTGTGGGTTAAGACAAACTGCTTGGGACTCCAAAACTTTCTCCCCTCAACTCAATTCCCTCTGGTTTTTGCAATCAGAAGTTGTGGGGACTTATCTTCCTGACACTGGAACCCTGGGCTGGGGGACATGGTGTGTGTTTGAGACTCCTTGTTCCTGAGATATCCCTCGAATTTTTATCAACCACACTTGTGTGTGGGACCAGCCCATTCCGCATCTGGGCCCCTCCTACCAGTCTGGATGGATGTGGTTTCTTTAATTCCATAGTTGTCAGACTTCCATTCAGCTTGATTTCTGATGTTCCTGAGTGATGGTTGTTTTATGTTTCAGTTGTAATTTTGATATGGTTGTGCCAAGTGGCCAGCCATATCTGCCTATGCCACCATCTTGACCAGAAGTGATCTATGTGTTTATAGTTCCTTACCGCCCTCTCTCCATCTCCCAGGTATATTCTTACCCAAGATAATCAGACATGGAAGTCCACCCTCTATCTTCAAAGGCTTTATAATCTAACAAGGGACACAAAATCCTAATAAAAGTAATAAAATGTATTTTGGGAGTTGCAACATTCCAGGCACACACAGCATGAAAGACAGAAAGGTAGGAAACAAGTCACATATAGGGCAATCTGGGGAACCCAGTTTGGTCTTAGCACAATTACTTAAGATGAGACTGAAGTAAGAAAATCAATGAAATAATCCAGACAAAAAGAATGAGATTCCTACTACAAGAATGTTCATTAAGCAATCAAATCAGAATTCTGGCCTGTAAGTAGAAGAGACAGGGGGTAAAAAGTGTTATAAAGTAGCCCAACCTCCATACCTGTGATTGTTCCATGGACCTGTGTTCCATTCTTTAATTCAATGGTTACAGTTTCGTGACTCAATTTCATCAAAAATCTATAAAGACAGCAGGAATGATAATTTACCTTTAAAACTTTAAAATCATGTTTATTAAATCAAAGGGTAAAATTTCTAATTGTTGAAGATCTGCTTAGATATTTCTATCAATTCCTGTTAACAACTTCAGGTTTCCCTAAATTAAACCCTTCACATTTGTGAAGGGGCATTATAATAACAGTCATTGGACATTTCCGATTCTCAAAACTATTGTACAGCATCCATGCATACAAACCCTAAAGTCATTGTAAGTCACAAAATTGAAATCAAGAAATTACATGAAGGTGGTCAAAAGGTACGAACTCCCTATTATATGCTGAGTATAATTAACACTGCTGTGTGATATATTTGAAAAGGTTCTAAGAGAGTAGATCTTAAAAGTTCTCATCACAAGGAAGAAGCCTTTTTTTTGTTATCTATAAAGATGATGGAGATTAACTAAACTTACTGTGGCAATTATTCTGAAACAGATGTCAAGTCACTATGCCATACACCTTAAACTTACACTGCTGTATGTCAATTTTATCTCAAGCCCTGGCTGGTGTGGCTCAGTGGATTGAGTGCTGGCCTGCAAACCAAAGGGTCGCCAGTTCCATTCCCAGTCCAAGCACATGCCCGGGATGCAGGCCAGGTCCCCAGTAGAGGGTGCATGAGAGGCAACCGCACATTGCTGTTTCTCTCCCTTTCTCCCTCCCTTTACTCTCTTTCGAAAAATAAATAAATAAAATCTTTAAAAAATTATATCTCAATAGTGAATGAAAAATAATTAAATTGTAATTGGTAGTAAAAGATTATAGTTACTGTATATATGTAATAATAAAGTAAAAAAGTCTCCCTTTATAACTTCCTCTCTGTAAGAATATTCTAGACCATTTTATATGCATTCATAAACACGTACATAAAATTTTCTAACATAATTGGCCATACTTTAATGACTTCTCTAACTTGTAGTTCTCATTTAGCAGTTTATATTAGACATTTCCATTTCTATTATATATTGCCATCACAAATCCATTTATGCAAATCCTTATCAACACTGTTACCAATCTTCTGAATTTTGTCCATTTAATAGAAAAAAAGGCAATCTGCCTTTTTAAAAAAATTGTTCAATTACAGTTGTCCCCATTTCCCCCATTACTCTTCCGTGCCCTACCTGCTGATTTTCTTTTATTAGATGTGAGGTTGAATATCTTTTCATAAATATTGGGAATCTGCATTTCTTTTGTGAACCACCTATTCATATTATTCACACACTTTCAATTAAATTTTTATTTTGTTTTCTACCAGTTTGCTACAGCCATTCAAGTTTGTTTGTGGCTTTCTTTAGTCATACAATTTCCCCCCCACTTTATACTGTTGATTTTGTGAATCCTTTTTAGGTATGTAATTTGTTTAGGAAGATGTTTCCCATCCCTAGATCTCTTTTCATCTGGTTTTATATTTAGTATACTTCATCTAATCTTGTTTGTCCCCAACTTTTATTATAAAATATTGCAGAGGAAAAAAAAATGGAAGGGTTGATAAATTATTGAAATGTTGCCATTTGTGTGTGTCCTTCTTATACTCAAAACTTATACTTTTCACCAAATCATCTAAAAATAAATTGCAGACACTTCAGTATGCATTTTCTAATGAGGACATTCTCCTACATAACCGTAATACCACAATCACCATCTAGAAAAATGGACAATAATCACACAATGTGATCTAATACATATTTCATATTCACAATGTCTTGTACATGAAGGATTACCTCTTTTTCTCCTCTACTAGACTGCTGCTGAGGATAAGGTTTATGACCTTTAATCTAATCCTGGACTGTGAAAGGCACTGAATAACAGCTGAATTTTTCAATTAAAAGGAAGGCATCCTTAAAATGCCACTTTTTTACTGGTATGGTATGGTCAGCCATAAAAAAAGGGAAATAATTGGCCTGGGATATATCAAGTCCTAAACTTTTAATCCTTTTAAGTTGAGTTTAGGAGAGAAGAAACGAGAGAGAAAAGACATTGATTTGTTGTTCCACTTATTTATGTATTCACTGGTTGATTATTGTATGTGCCCTAACAGGGGATCGAACACACAACCTTGGCATATTGGGATGATGCTCTAAGAAACGGACCTAACCCTGCCAGGGCCCAAACTTTAAGCAACTCATATGTCCTCATATAAAGATTGATGTGTTGAATTCTCACACCTTTTTTTGTTTCCTGTCAAGAAAAGTCTCTCACTGAATTGATAGTCACCAGACAAGGATTCTTAAATTGAGCTCTAAATTTAATAATCATTTGTAACTATATTAGCCTAGATTTTCACCTACTAGTTTACTTCCATTATCAGGTTTTGGGGTTTTAAAAAAACCCTTATTTTAACTGACCCACTCAATAATTATTTTTATAAAATTCTTTCATATCATTTTTGGAAGTAAAACTAGGCCCCCTACAAGTTCAAATTCTAGTAGAAAGGACACAGAAGATTTTTAAAAGAAACTAAATTAGAAAACCAGTGGAGATATGCAGATTTTTACCAGACAAATAATGTAGCAAGAATAGGAGGGAATCAAATCTTAGTGGATTTATCCAGAGTAAGGTGTCTGATAAGTTGAAAATATGCAGCAAAAAGAGCAAAGATATGGTAATAAGAAATAGCGCAACACTGAGAAATTTCTGGTACTACTGATGGAAAACTAAGTTCAAGAAAATGAATAGGGAAGTTAGGCAGGTTCCTATCATGGAGAGCCCAAGCTCCATTATATTCTCACTGAAAGACAAATTAGGTGGCTAGAGCAGTATACAGGTTAAAGTTATAGTAATCAAGACACAGGAACAACAAACTGATCAATGAAATAGAATAGAGCCCAGGAATAGACCCACATTTATATAGTCTACTTCTAATAAAAGTGCTTATGGGACTGCTAAAACAATCTGATGGGCAAAGAAAAACCTTTTCAACAAATGATGAAATGGATCATAATAGGGATTTATATTCAATAATATGGAGTAACTGGAAATCCATATAGAAAAAAAAAATGAACCTGGATCACTAAGACCACTTACCAAAATTAACTGAAGGTAGACCACAAACCTAAACCTAAGAGTTAAAACTATAAAGCTTTTAGAGCAAGACAGAATAACTTCATGGTTTGAGGGCAGACAAAATTTTGACAGTGTAGAGAGAACCACCACCATGAAAAAAAAAAACTAGTAAGTTGAGACATCCTCAAAATAAACTTCTGGTCACAGACTTCCCGCCAAGATGGAGGCATAGGTAAACACACTGTGCCTCCTTGTACACCCAAAATAAGGACAACAAAAATTTAGAAACAAAAAAACCACTACTGATAGAAAATTGAACTATATGGAAGTCCAACAACCAAGGAGTTGAAGAAGGAACATTCATCCAGACCAGGAGGAGGGGCGGAGTCAGGCAGCCAGGTGGAGAGAACTCACAGCAAAGCATAGGCTGGTGGACCCAGGTGTGCAAGGTGACAGTGAGTGGACCCAGCGAGGCAGAGGATTGTGGAGGGCCTTGGCATACAAGGCAAGCTGGTGGACTGGACAGTCCCACATTTGCACACAGATAAACCAGGCGATAACAGGGAGCAAGACAGACCACGTAAACCAGGGTCCCAGCACAGGGAAATAAAGCCTCAAAACACCCATTGAAAACACCTGTGGGGGTTGAGGTTCCGATAGAGACTCCCAGCCTCATAGGAGAGCTCATTGGAGAGACCCACAGGGTCCTAGAATGTACACAGACCCACCCACAGGGAATCAGCGCCAGAAGGGCCCAGTTTGCTTGGGGGAAGTGGTGGAAGAGACTGAAATCCGGCAGAGAGCAGAGTTAGCACCATTGTTCCCTCTCAGACCCCTCCCCCACATACAGCATCACAATCCAGCAAGTGGGTTGCCCCACCCAGGGGAACACCTAAGGCTCCACCACTCACTACTTAACAGGTGCACCAAGACAACCCCCGCCCAAAAAAGGGTCCAAACAAAAGAACTGATCAAAGCTCCAAAAACAATACAAGTAAGCGATGAAGAGATAGCCAACCTATCAGATGCACAGTTCAAAACACTGGTAATCAGGATGCTCACAGAATTGATTGACTTTGGTCACAAATTAGGGGAAAAATTGAAGGCTATGCTAAGTGAAATAAAGGAAAAAGGAAAGGGAACCAATAGTGATGGGAAGGAAAATGGGGCTTAAATCAATGGAGAGGACCAGAAAGAAGAAACAACCAACAAACGGAAAAGAATGAAGAAACTAGAATTAAAACAAACAAACAAACAAACAAACCAAAAAAACCCCCCAAAAACCTGAGGAGAGGCTTAGGAACCTCCAGGACATCAGGACATCTGTAAACGTTCCAACATCCGAATTATAGGGGTACCAGAAGGAGAAGAGGAAGAGCAACAAGTGGAAAACTTATTTGAACAAATAATAAAGGAGAACTTCCCCAATCTGGCAAAGGAAATAGACTTCCAGGAAGCTCAGAGAGTCCCAAAGAAGTTGGACCCAAGAAGAAACACACCAAGGCACATCATAATTACATTAGCCAAGATTAAAATGAAGGAGAGAACCCTAGAAGCAGCAAGAGATAAGGAGACAGTTACCCACAAAGGAGTTCCCATCAGACTATCAGCTGATTTCTCAAAAGAGACCTTACAGGCAAGAAGGGGCTGGAAAGAAGTATTCCAAGTCATGAAAGGCAAGGACCTATTCCAAGATTGCTCTATCCAGCAAAGCTTTCATTTAGAATGGAAGGACAGATAAAGCACTTCTCAGATAAGGTCAAGTTAAAGGAGTTCATCACTGCCAAGCCCTTATTATATGAAATGTTAAAAGGACTTATCTAAGAAAAATAAGGTAAAAAACATGTACAGTAAGGTGACAGCAAACCCACAATTATTAACAACCACACCTAAAACAAAAACAAACTAAGCAAACTAGAACAGGAACAGAACCACAGAAATGGAGATTACATGGAGGGATAGCAACAGGGGAGTGGGAGGAGAAAGGGGGAAAAGGTACAGAGAATAAGTAGCATAGATGGTACACAGAAACTAGACAGGAGGAGGGTAAGAATAATATGGGAAATGTAGAAGCTAAAGAACTTATAAGTATGACATATGGACATGAACTAAAAGGGGGGGAATATGGATGGGAGAGGGTGTGGAGGGAGTAAAGGGGGGAATGGGACAACTGTAATAGCATTATCAATAAACTATATTGGAAAAAAAAAACCATCTCTGGTCACCAAAGACATTAAGAAATGAACAAGCAAGCCACAAGAGAGAAATTGTATCTGACAAAGGACTAGTATGCATAATATAGAAAGAATCCTTATTATTCAGTAATTAAAAGAACACACAAAAATTAAACTCTTCACACATATAAGTGAATGGCCGATAAACAGATGAAAGTGTTCAACATTATTAGCATTAGCATGAAAATTGAAGCCATAATGGGACACTACTACACAATCATGAAAATGCCTAAAAAACTGACAACAACAAATGCTGATGAGGGCATGAAACAACTGGAATTCTAATCTACTGTTGGTGGGAGTGTAAAAAGGTACAACCACTATACTATGGAAAGTGGTCTGACAGCTTCTTATAAAACTAAATGTATATCAATGCCATGATCCAGCAACTCCACTCCTAATTACCCAAAAGGGGGGAGGGGACCTTGCACAATAAAGTTCAAAGCACTTTTAAATACATTGCTTTTAAACACACAATGGACTACTATTCACTAATAAGAAGAAAGTACTGATGCAAACCATAATGTAGATGAATCTTAAAAATATGCAAAGTAGCCCTGGCTGGTATAGCTCAGTGGATTGAGCATGGGCCTGCGAGCCAAAGGGTCAGTAGTTTGATTCCCAGTTAGGGCACATGCCTGGGTTGCAGGCCAGGTCCCCAGTAGTGGGGCGTGACAGGCAACCACACACTGATGTTTCATTCCCTCTTTCTCTTTCCTTTCCCCTCTCTCCAAAAATAATAAAATCTTTTAAAAAAGAAAAGATTTCCTCCTTATCTTTAAAAAATATGCGGAGTAAAATAAATTTTACACAAAAAGAATGCATACTCCATGACTCCAAATATGGAAATTCTAGTATAAGCAAAACCAAGTTATGGTGGAAGAAACTGGTTGCCTCTGTAGTTACAGGGCCAAAGATCGACAGGGAAGGGCTTGAGGAAACTAAGGCTTTGGTAATGTTCCATAGCTTAACAATGGTTTGGGTTACACAGGTGTATACATTTTTGAAAATCAGGAAATGCACACTAAATTTCATTGTATGAAATATTTACCTCAAGAGGTTATTGTGTCTTGAAAACAAACAGATAAACAAAAAACCCAGGGGTGAAAAATGGAGCCTGACCAGTTCAGTGGTGACTATTGGGATGGTAGGGGGCAGGAGAAACAGACATACTAATACAAGCCTGGAAACCAAATAGATTGGAATTATTTTCTGATGAATCCTTTACTATCTTAATTCTTTCTACCTACTGAAACTCTGATATTCAAATAACATGGTATCTATCCTTCAGCATACAAACCCACACTAAGTTCAAAAAGCAAAGAGAATTCAACAGTGAGAGATACTTCCATAACGTAGATAAAAATGCCAAATTTTTCAGGCATCAGGATTATCAAGAGAGAAAGCAGTCAAGACTCTCAGGTTTTTGTTTAGAGTGATAGTAAGATAAGAAAGATTGTGCCACCAACTAAGGTACAGAAATAAATCTACTGAAATGTAAATCAGTTAAACAAATACCTACTCTCTTGGTACAAAATACATTCTCCAGTTAGAAGAAATTTTGTTTCTATATTCTAAAATACAGAATAGGATTCAAGAGTCATTAAAAGTTTTACAGGAAAATCATCACAACATGGAAATCTTTAAATGAGACAAACTGATTTCAGACAGTATCACATAAAATTTAACTAAAAAGACTCAGACTGCTAGCTATTGAGAAAATACAATATACTTTAAATTCTGAGACGGTTTTATCCACTTATAGTTCAAATAAAAAGGAACTAAAAGTTAACCTTAAATTTAAATGCCTTCCCTACAAACTCCAACCTGAAGGGTTTTACGTTATTTCAAACATACCACAAATTATCTACTTCTCTGTCTTCCCCACAAAAACAGAAACCTCCAACAAAGCATGACTCTACTTTAAAAAAAAAAGAAAGAAAAAAAGTCCATTATCAGCACACAGAGTTAATAAGTAAGTGCCCAATTACTGTTTGGTCGACATTGACAATCCTTGACTCAACAAGCAACAAACTAGCTAAATATGTGTAACTGCTGGCTTATTTATCAGAAACCTTTAGATTACTTAAACAAGTCTTCAGTAGGTTTAATCAACCAGGTTTAAGAAATAAAAAGAAATACCGACTATCCGTGTAGTCACTCACAAATACGAAAAGTGATTCTGTCCCAAGTTGGGCTATTATTTCCTAAATGAAAGGTCTACTTTAAAGGGGAATGTAGGTTGAATAATCTTAAATCTAGAAAGTATAAAGAGTGAACTAAAAAAGAGAAAAAATTTAAGTCAGATTTAAAACATTTCGGAAGTTGTCTTCATTATTTCCCAGATAAACCCCTGCACTTCTAAGTACTCTTTTAAAAGCGCGTTTATTTAAACTACTTTCGCAGGGCTGCAATTTTTATGTCTCCCACATCCTCAGGGAGCGTGCGGATTCCTGATGGCTGAGGTAAGCCCGAGAAATAGAAACTAGAAAAACTAAACTAGGAAATCCTAAGTAACCGAATACACGACTTTGTAAGCCTGAAGCTATACCTTTAAGGCCTAGGTCAGTGGATGGGAAGAAAGGGCTCGGCCTTTACATCCACCCCCGGAAGACACGAGTTTATCCCCTCGCGACTGAGCCTGAACGCCAGGCCCGAAGGCCAGCGGCGGCGAGGCCGGGACGTAGCTGGAGTGGCGGGCGCCGCAGGCAGTTAGCAGCTTGCGCACGCGGCTTTCGCGCCTCCTGCAAGAGTGGTAGCCCAGCCTCCCGCTACCGGCCCCAACTGTCCCTTCACGGCCCCCGACCCGTTTTCGTCACCTCCTCACCTCACGAGCTTCATCCTAACGGAGCCGTCACGTTTCCAATCCCAGAGAGCACAAAAAAGAACCGAGGGCCCAAGGACTGGAATATGAATGACCGGAAACGCCTACTCCTAGGCCTCGGATGTAACGAACGCGCGCGCTGCTGGGGCCGCTCAGCGGAAACGAAGGGGCCGCGCGTCGGGTCGCATACCCTTCCGGCGGCGAGGAGCGCCACTGCGGCCCCTGGCGGCTGGAGGTGTGCCTTGCGACTGCTGAGATCGTTTAGTGCTAGTCTAGGAGGAAATTGCCTGTTCAAGGGAGATTTTGAGATTAAATTCAATTAGTAAGCACTTCGGCGTGACAGTCCACCTCGTGTCATGACAGTCCACCTCGTAGCATGCTGCACCAAAATATACCAGTGAGCGAACGGAAGTACTGGGAGAAGCCCAAAGGATTACATAAATCCTGCTACAAAGCCCGGAATTTCAGCAGTATGTAATGTGACTAAAGAAAACCACACAATTCAGCTAATTCTTTTTCACTTTAAATTCTGGTCACGAACTTTTAAAGAGCCCCTACACTGCCCAGAGATCGTGTTATACTTCTCTAACGAGCTCAAAAACGATTTCATACCTTCTTTCTTCTGTCCCTCTTCAACCTTTTACAATCCAAGTCCTTTTCCAAATCACCCTCTGCTAATGTTACGGAAGCCATCCTGCTTTCCTTGCTGTTATAAGAGCAAAAGTAATATTGCTCCCTTCCAAGACAAACTCCTCTCTGTTGTTGTATGGACCTTATCTCCCATTTTCTCAAAAATTCCACTCCACTTATCCCCCACCCAACCTGAATCATTACTTTCTTCCTCTCTACTGGATTTTTTCCATCAGCATACAGATTTGTATAACAAAACAAAGTTCTTTTCTGATGCAGCTCCAGCTACTGCCAGAATTCTTTCACAGAAAAATTTCCTGAATGAGCTGTCTATACTTGTTTTTATCACCCCCAATTCACTCTTCAAACTACACTGAAATTGCTTTTCTAAAGGTTATCAAAACCTCCATGACAAACTTCTGTCCTCATCTTACTCAACATTTCAGCAGCATTCAACACAGATACTCTCCTTTAGTAACACCCTCCTTTGCTTGGCTTCCAGAATACTAAGCTTAGCTGGGTTTATTCTTATCCCACTAGTGACTCTGTTTACTAGTCAGCTGTCTCAGCTGCCTCATTCTCTACTGAGCCATTACATGTTTGGGTGCTTCAGGGCTTACACTAGGTGTAGTCTCCTTATGGGTACTTTCTCCTTTAGCCTACGTGATCTCCAAAGCCTTGGCTTTAATTTGGATCTTCAACCTAGATTTTATCATTTACCACTGAAACTCTTGGATTTTGTAAAGCAGTGCTCATCAAATTTTAATGTGCATAGGACTCATCTGGACAAAACTTTAGAATGAAAATTCTGATTCAGTTGGTGTGGGTCTGAAATTCTGCATTTCTAATGTTCAAGAAAAAAAAAAAAACACAGGCCCAAAATGGAGTCACTTGTGTTAACAGCCTACAATACCAAACCTAGATTTAAGACCTGATTTAACTGCAGTTTCAATCTCTCCCAGAAACATAATCTTAATTAACCAGTCTGGAATTTTCTGGTCAAGGATCAGCAGTCTGTCCTGTCACCTAGGCTATCTCTGTTCTCCCTGGAAAGAAGAGACAATCTACATGTCAACAACCCTCCCACTTCTCTTCCCTCAAAGATGTCCTGGCTTCTTTTCTTTCACTAACAGCTTCCTTGCCCCACCCTGCTTCCATTTTGTAGTGCCCTAGTTGCTAAAAGGAATGCTGCCCAATTCATGAATCACTTAACCCTGTGGAGGTTGCAGTAAAAAAAATTACAGCACAAGTTGCATGTACCTGAGAGATACATTCATTACCACTAAGTGCTAAAATGAGAAAAAAATTTAAACACTGCAAATTGGCATTTACTATATTAATATAATAAAATACATGATTTTTTATTTTTTCAGTTACAACCTAGAAATTATTAAAAAATAAAAACATAAATAAAAAATTTTCTTTTCAAATAACAGAAATACGGGTATTGCTGAAGAATACAACCAAAAAAAGTCTTTAACATTAGCGATCAGAATCATCAATAGTTGGTTTTGTAAACCGTTTGTCATAGTCATCGCAAAAAGTATTGAGTATGCGCAAGGCATAAATACTTTTTACAACACTGGCAAAAATATTTTGATAAATGACTAGAGTAGCATTCACTAAAGTTCCTCAACATGTCTTGGATTATCGAATCAAAGTATCTTTCCAGCCATTTGCAACACTAAATAAAAAAAAAAACCTACAATACTGACTTCGAAGTTCAAATAAAAAAAAAAACAAGTACACCAACACTGACCTCGGACTTTGTGGTTTCTCTCAGATACAATTTACTATAGAATATCATACACCCTTATGAAACTTTGTTATAATGAAACTGACCGCCAACATTAGTCACGTACAAGTACGTAGCTAGTCATAACCTTGAACCTATGCACCTAATATATGTCATAATATTTAAGAAAAGAGTTTGTTTCTATCTCTCAGATCAGTTGTAACCTCTGCATGGTTAATAAAGCCAATTCAATCATTAAATTTACTTGGTTGAAGTTTTTTGAACACTAACAAGCCTTCAGTTGATAAAGATGCCCCTAGTCCATGGACCATAATTGATTAGCAAGACTGTAATGCACGTTTGTGTGCTGCCTCCTCAACACCTATCCCCTTTTCTTTCCAACAGTTTCCAATAACCTTCTGGTGATTCATGAGGTCCTAAGGATGCTGACTCTACCCTTATGTTAATAATCACATTCCATTATTGTCCACAGTGGGCTTAGGGTATAAGCTGATCAACCAGACCTTTGCAGAAAATACTCTTTTCTTTTGGATGTGAGTGGAGCGGTAGTTTTTGGAAACTCTAAGAGAAGAACAGGTCCTAAGAGTTGCAAAAAAACAAAACCCATGATGAGTCCCTTGATTAAAAATAGTGCCTAAATGTGGTTATTTAAATGAAAATTAAGTAAAATTAAAAATTCAGTTTCTCAGTTACAGTAATCACACTTCATTCGCTCAATAGGCATATGGGGATATGGTTACCCTTTTGGACAGTGCAGATACAGGTCATTTCAATCCTCAAAGAAAGTTTGATTAGACAGTCTTGCTCTGTTAATCACCATATTTATTTCCTTCTTTGTATTTAACTATTTGTTTACTTATTTGTTGTCTGACACAAGAATGTAAACTACATGAAGGCAGGAAATTGTATCTGTTCTGTTCACTTCTACATTCCCATCATTTAGAATAGTGCCTGGCACACAGTGGGACCTCAAATATTTGTGAAATAACTAAATGTTTCCCTCATTAGAGTGCATGCTGCAAGTGTGTATTGTTCATTGCAGTATTCCTAGTATTGAGCACAGGGTACTCCTCTCTATTATCCTTAAGGCTCTTCCTACTTTGAGCTCTGCCTACCTCTTAATCCCTTTTCCCCTCAATAGAATTGGAATATTTGAGTTCCAGCAGCTCACTAAGCTTACTGTCCTCTCTAGACTTTTGTACATTCAGTCCTTTAACCTGGCTAACACCTTCTTATCCCTTCTCAAGTATGTGAGGTCAGCATTATTACTTGTATGTGTTAGTGGTGGGTCTCTTAGAAGACGGCAAAATGAAATGTCATTATCAGGTGATTTATACCAAATTGGTATAGTTTTTCTGTTTTTATTTTCTACCTTGAATTTTTCTTTAGAATCTCTACTCTCATTTTATAAAACTGTCAAGAGTCCCGAAATAAAGTCAACAAGAGTGGAGCAACAAAGAAAAAACCTTTTTTTTTTGCTGCTAGCAGGAGTGTCAGTCTGAAAATAAGACTATCCTGTCTTTTGGGAGTTAGCAGAGGTTTTATATATTATAGACATTATAGATTTTTCACAAGAAAGAAAAGGAAAAAGAGAATGTTATGTGTGGGAGAATGCAACTAATCCATTATTAGATTTTATAAGTAGATATTCTAATGATAAGCAAGTGTAGAAAAGTACATTATGCAGTTTGAAGTCAGGGAGGAAAACAAACATCTTAAATCCAGGATACGACATTTTCAATCTTGAGTTTAGCAAGAGAAACTTCAAGTTAGGACTTTCAGTTCTCTGTGTAGAGATTGTGAAAAAAGGATTGTTGCAGTTCAAATACTACAATTTACAGAACCATATGTTAAGCACCAAGGTACATCATCTGGCCATAGCATTTGTTTTTATCATGAGCACATGGCAAATAGTGAACCCCAGAGTTCTCCCCAAGGACTTTCTCAGGAGCTCTGAGGAAGGGAGGCCTCTCTTTTTATTGGAATCAGTTCACCGTGAGCTTATATAATTTTTGAAAGTTCAATCAAGCAAAATAATTTATTCAGTTGATAATGATTATCTTTTAGTAAACAACCCATTCAAATGAACCAAATTCTAAAGTTCATAGAAACTCTAAAAGAAAACCATTGGTGGAAGGCAAAACAAATTTTGTCAAACATGATATTACAGAATTAAGATTTAATCAAACTATAAATTGAGACCTTTGGTGTTAATGAATCGGAAGTGAAAAATATCTTTTAAAATGATAAAGAATAATACTTGAGAAAGTTACTTTTTTCCATAAAAGCAAAATGTTTTTAAAATGTATTTTTATTGAGATATAACTGACATTTAAAATATACAGTTTTAAGGTATACAACATGTTGATTTGATACAATTATATATTGCAATATGATTAACACAGTAACCAACACATCCATCATGCCACACAATTATTTCTTTCTTGTGGTAGGAACAATTAAGATCTAGTATCTTAGCAACTTCAAAATTTATAACATGGTATTGTAAAATCAAACTATTTTATACTTTCACAGCATGTTTAAGAAACTGATTGTATTTAGTTTTAGAAAAGAAAAGCCAAGAATTGCAGACATGAATTATATATCAAATATGATGTGTCAAAAATAAGAACAGCTCAGTGGATTGAGCACTGGCCTGCAAACCAAAAGGTCGCTGGTTCGATTCCTAGTCAGGGCACATGTTTGGGTTGAGGGTCAGGTCCCCAGTTGGGGGCATGTGAGAGGCAACCTGTATATGTTTCTCTCACACATCAATGTTTCTTTCCCTCTCTCTTTCTCTCCCTTCTCCTCTCTCTAAAAGTAAATAAATAAAATCTTTAAAAAAATTAAAAACAAAAAATGTACATATGATTTCCTATGGTCTGATGTTTGTATCCTATGCTCCTTATTATGGCCAATACAACAAAAAATGTGGAGTAGATCACTCAGAAACAGACGCCTATTCTGTGGGAAGGTAAATGTGTAAATATGGTTTGTGTGTCTGTATGGCAGAATTTGAACCAGTAAAGATAAATTGGTTTAGAGGAAAAGAAACCCCACCAGTTGTCTGACAGTCTAAAGGTAAAGCCAAATGTAGGCTAGATACTCTGATAGATAACCAGCTTTAATCAGGTCGGCAGTCTATTACTGCGCTTTTTCTTCCACTTTAAGCCATTTGGCATATGCCATCAAAGTATATGTATCAGGGACTGGGGGATGGGAGTGGGGAGAGTAGGCATGTTTTTGACAAGTAACAATGTATGGTGATGAGGGTAATGGCCTCACACATCAAAACCAATTTTTTAAAACTTTTATTTAATTATTTATTTAGAGGGGAAGGGAAGGAGAAAAGGAGAGAAGGCATGTGCCCTGGCTGGGGAATCGAATCGGCAGCCCTTCGGTTCGCAGGCCCGCGCTCAGTCCACTGAGCTACACCAGCCAGGGCCCAACTTTTTTTATTTTTAAACCATAGACTCTCGCCAGACTAAATTTAAAGTACATTTTGGTTTTATTGGGTTTCAAAATAGGTCAGGAAGGGAAGAACTCACCTACGCCCCTCTTCAGATTCTTAAAGGCAAGAGTACGATTTATCCATCCTTACAGTTCAGCAAAGAGAGAGGAGTAAAGGCAGTGTGGGAGCCATGAATCCTAGTGGTAGAACCCTAGATTCTATCTTTGAGACTTCGAAGAACCAAAGCTTTGTTTGAACACCCACCGTGACTACACCTAGAGGAATATTCTACAGTTTCTTAGGGACTCTTGTGCTCTCGTTCACAAGGAGGACAGTGTAAATTTGGAGTCGATGGAGTGCATTGCAGGAGGAGAGAGAAGGGTCAATTACCTCCCCTTTTCTTTACATCGGCCCATTTAGAATATTAAGGGTATTTGAATTAGAGGTGGCAGGGAACAGTACCTGCACCCGGCATAGGAACCTGCCGCAACGTATTTCCAAAACAAACCACCACCGCTGGGGGCGCGGATGGCTTTATTCCAAGAAAGGACCCCGGGAAGGGTAAGCGATCACCGCCAGGGGGCGAGGCCATCTCCCCGCAAGGCGCCCACCCGCGGTGCGCGCACGCGAGGCCTCCCACCGCGCCTGCGCCTAGGATAGACGCTGGCTTGCCTTTCCCCGACGCCCCGCCGACCCGGCCGGGGTGAAAAACTGCGTGACACGCAGCGAGCGTGGCGGCCATCTTCTTCAGGATACGTCAGTCGAACCCTTTAGGGTTGAAGTTGAGCGTTGCGCAAGCGCGCCCAAGTCTGTCGCAGGTAACTCCCATCTGACGGGCGAGGCGTCGCAGTCGCCGCCGGAAGTTTGGCGTTTCTGCGCCGCGGGGGAGGTGGCTGTCGCGGCAGAAGCAGCTGAGTGTCTTCTGATACCCGGATGTGAGGCGGACTGCCGGCTCCCGTAGTCCCTCGGCCAGGCGTGAGGAAGGTACGCGAGCGTCCCGACAGTCTCCGCCGCCAGCTGTCGGACCGCTTGCATCTTCATTTCCCTTTTACCAGCTCCTCTAAAGAGCCGGACGCCTTTCTCACTCTCGTGTCCTGTTGCCCCGCACGCCCCTTTCTATTTCTCTTGTCCCAGTTCCTCGCGCCTTTGGGAGGCAGCGGGCGGCTCCCACACGCCGTTGCTTGAGGTAAGCAAACAACCTGGCCGTCTTCGCTGCCCAGTCCGCGCATCACCTGCTGCTGCTTGCTGGGCGGGTCAGCAGTAAAAGGGGCCATGACCGAGACCGCGTCAGGCTGGGGCTCCCTCGGCGGCCGCTAGGGCGCCAGAACCCCGAGATGGTGTGCATCTATTGAGTGAAACTGCGGGTGGCGTCGGCGGTGGCCCTCAGGTAGCCTCGGGCCTTGTTCCCGCCCCCGGCGGCTTCACTTCTCGGTGTTTCCCCTGAGCCCTCGCGGAGCTGCGGTTCCAGCGGCTGGCTGCCCTACCCGCGTCGCCACCCGTTGACCCGGCCTGAACCCGGAGGCCTCTGCAGTCTGAGGGGTCGGGGACTTAGGAATCATGGTTTCACAGTCTTGAGCTTGAGACCGGACTGGGGGCTTGAGTCCAAGGTCATAGAATAATTCGGGTTGGATATGAGAGTCTGGGCACAGGTAAAGTCCCCCTAAAGTAGATATAGATGCAATGAAGGCCATAATAAGGTCTCTGGGAGCAGAAGGAAGTTGGATTCTCGATTTTTAGCATTATTTATAAGATGATTTGACAACGGGGATTTGTTTTACTCGGGCAGACTGGGATACCAAGTCCAATCTCCTTGTCCCGTCCCTCACCTCCCTTATTACTACCTCTAATGTGGAGTTCTGAAAACCCAGCACCTGCAATATTTTTCTGGGCGTGAGGGTGGGGAGGACCGGTGGGTAATGCAGCGGGGAAGGAGGAAGGAGTTAAATCATTGCGATTTGAGAAGTACTTGTTTTTTGTAGTTCTTAAATCACAGAAATGGGAAACTTTCAGCAGGAAGTAGTTGCAGCACACAGTATTTAAATACTGTTGTCAAATGATATTTTAGTAAATAATTGGGTTTTGCAGAAACCAGTAAAATGCTACTTAGTGGAATACTAGAATGTGAGTTTTGTTTTCCCCACTTAACATTACTTTTTAAAAAACTGGGTAGAACACTGGTTTTAGTTTAAAACATTCTGGATGCAGTGAACTTGGCTGTATTAATCCTTTTTTCTGATTTGGTACTTAGATTCTGCTTTACACATTGCCCTAACACCAGTGGAACTTTTTTTAATTTGAAAAACTTGAAAATTCTCACCAGGGAATTAGATATGAGAATAGGATAAAAAGTGCTTACAAATGCTTAATTTGAAAGTTGCAAATTCAGGCCTTACAACATGTGAGGAAATAAAACTAACAGATACTTCCTCCTTTTAGGTAGAGTGCAGTATATACCTCCTAAGATCAGATGTGTGACTTTGGAAGTGTTTTTTTAGAACAAAGCTTGCCCTGGCTTATAAACTTCTGCCCACCTTAATCATTCCTGGCGTATATTGCTATTCCTCATTGATCAGCATTATAATTCTCTGGTGAACAATAACTTTTTAATACCAGCCCCATACAAGGTTTTGTGCTAGGCATTTAAATCGATAAGTTATGCCTTCAGAAGAACTGAAAAAGGACCCTAATTAATGAATGCCATTAACTTTCTTTGCTGGATGGCACTTTGTAGCTTGGTAATTTATTACAGGACAAAGTGCATTGTATTTATTCTAATAATAAAGATGACTAGCATTGCACAATTCAAAAGAATAGGTTTTTAAGTAAAAATTTTTTTCGTGACTTTTATTGGCATATTTGTTTCACAGAGTTTTTTGAATAACCTCTACTGAAGGTGATAAGAAGTTTATTTTTTTTAAGATTTTATTTATTTTTAGAGGAAAAGGGAGGAAGAAAGAAAGGGAGAGAAACATCACTGTGTGATTGCCTCTCATGTCCCCTGCTCTGGGGACCTGGCCTGCAACCCAGGCATGTGCCTTGACCAAGAACTGAACCAGAGACCTCTTGCTTTGTAGGCTGGCATTCAGTCCACTGATCCACACCAGCCAGGGCTGAAGGTGATAAGAAGTTTAGATGGGGGGTGGGCTGGGATGGGAGTAAAAGGCAGAAAACTCTACTTGAACAATTAAAATAAAATAAAAAAAGTTTAGATGGTTAGAAACCAACTCCAGTAAAATTGTTACCATAGATAATTCATTTAAGGACTTTATTAACTTTTTGAAGCCCAGACTGTTTTCTGTGCTTTTTTTTTTTTTTTGGCACAGTGAAAGTTCGTTGGTCTCTTTGTGCATAAATTTTGTATTCTAGTTACATATTGTAGTTACTCTTGGCAAATTTATCATTCTGTTAACCTAATCATCCTGTCTTTTCTTTTTTTGAGGGGCTACATCTTATGCTTAATTGGATTATAGTACATCTGAAAAGATGTTCTGTGCTCTCTTCAGCTTACTTTAAACATTTATGGCTGTATACATGAGAGTCAACAGAAATAACTCAGGATATAAATAAAAATGGGGTATTGAATATTACTTTATTACAGTGGTTCTCAAACTATTTAGTCAGGATCCTTTTACATTCTTAAAAATTATGTAGGACTCCAACTAGCTTTTGTTTACATGGGTTATATTTGTTGATAGTGTATTTGAAATAAAATATTAATTCACTAAAGAATAGTAAACTAATTACAGGTTAATATGAATAATGTTTTTAAATGAAAAACAACTACTTTTCAAAACACAAAAAAATTAGTTAAAGAATGGCAACTGTTTTACATTTTTGTGAATTTTTTAAATATCAGTTTCTGCATTTAATCTGTTATATGTTGTTCTGGTTGAAATATATGAAGAAAATCTAGCATCACTGTTGGGAGGAGTACTTTAATAACTATTTAGGTAATTGTGATAGTCTTTGATTCCACAACAAAATTCAACAAATTGTAATTTTTTAAATGTCAGCTGTAATGTGGAATCTGAAACCATATCTACACACTTTTCTTAAAATACTGCATTAAAATTCATTGATCTGTTTTGTACTTCTTGTTGATCTTTTACCTGTATATGATTTTGATCTAAGGAACCCCCTAAGGGTCTCTGGAATCCTTAGGGCCTTTTACCACATTTAGAAGACTATTGCTTTAATGTAAATAATTATATAGTTTAGAATTAATGCAGTTATTGAAGCTGAAAAGGGTAATGATAATATGATAATGAAGTTGTCAGGTAAAGTGAAACTAGGAGTAACTAAGGTAAATATTTTCTTATATTCTCTTTTCATTAAAAATGTTACTGTATCAGCAATATTATTACAGCTTATTATTATTATAGTTACTACTAAGTAAGTATTTATGTTGTGTCAGGACCTGTTTTAAGGACTTACTGTTTGGAAATGTTTCTACTGTGTCATCTTTAGTGATGGTTAAGAGAAAGACAAATATAATTTAACTTATTTTTTTTCCTTTACATACATTATTCTCTGTAACACAGATATAGTTCCATAGGCTGAAGGCTTTCCCCCTAAGATCAACAAGAAGACAAGGATGTCTATTCTTGCCACTTACATTCAACATTGTGCTGGAGGTTCTACCCAGGACAGTTAGGCAAGAAAAAAGAAATAAAAGAAAAAGAAAAGAAATAAAGAAAATTTAGAAAGTAATAAAAAAACTATTTCTACTTGCAGATAACTTGATCTTATATGATAAAAATCCTAAGGAATCCACAAAAAAACTTATTAGAACTAAGAAATGAATTCAACAAGGTTATAGAATACAAAGTCAATGTACAAAAATCATTTGTGTTTCTGCATACTACCCCATGAACCATCCAAAAAGGAAATTAAGAGAATTCCTTTTATAATAAGTAAAAAAAATAAAGTACAGTAGGTCCTTGATAATGTCTCAAGAAATTGTAACTGATGATAAATTGTAGCATTTCTTAGAATGGTAATGGGTGCCATAGGATCTTAACTCTCTTTTAGATCAATTAGCCTATATCTGTGATGAAATTGGTTTCATTTATATTGTTTCCCTTAACATTGCAGAACCCATTGACAACGTTAAATTACTAACAAGCAAATTTAACAAATGTGTAAGGTTTGACACTAAAAATTATGAAATATTGCTTACAAAATTAAAGATAACCTAAATAAATGAAAAGATATCTATGTGTAAGGATTAGAAGATTTACTGTTAAGATGGCAATATTCTATATTGATCTATAGATTCAGTGCAATCCCTGCCAAAATCCTAGCTGACTTGCAGAAATTGAGAAGCTGGTCCTAAAATTCATATAGAATAGCCAAAACAATTTTGAAAAACAGTAATAAAGCTGAGGGACTCACACTTCCTCATTAAAAAACTTACTACAAAATGAACCGAGAACCCTTCCCAGGTAGCTCAGTTGGTTAGAGTTGTTGTCCCAGTGTGCCAAGGTTGATCCTGGTTGGGGCACATAAAAGAATCAGTCAATGAATGCATAAATAAGTGAAGCAACAAATCAGGCAATCAGTCAGTCAATCTCCCTCCCCCCCTTCCCCTCCTTCCCACTCTGCTTCCCCTTCGTCCTTCCTCTCTCTCTAAAAATCAATGAATAAAATTAAAAAAAAAAAAAGCCAAGAATATACAATGGGTAAAAGGACAGTGTCTCCAGTAAATGGTGTTGTGAACACTGGAAAGCCACATACAAAGGAATGAAACTGGACCCTTGTTTCACACCGTACATAAAAATTAACTCAAAATGAATTAAAGACTTGAATGTAAGACCTGAAATCATAAAACTCCTAGAAGAAAATATAGATGGTAAACTCCTCAATATCAGTCTTGGTGATGATTTTTTGAATCTGTCACCAAAAGCAAAAACAACACAAGCAAAAATAAATACGTGGGAACTATGTCAAACTAAACAGCTTCTGCAAAGCAAAGGAAACCAACAACAAGATGTAAAGGTAACCTACTGAATGGGAGAAGATATTTGTAAATGATATGTTTGATAAGGGGTTAATATCCAAAATATGTAAAGAACTCATAGAACTCAATAGCAAAAAAAAAAAAAAAAATCCGATTAAAAAATGGTCAGAAGATCTGACTAGACATTTTTCCAAAGAAGACAGACAGATGGCCTACAGGCATATGAC